GTGGCTCTCGTGGCCCCGAGTGGGCATCGGGCTGCACAGGTGGGGGGCGGGCAGGCGGAGGTGAAGCCTGGGGGAGGGAACGCATGCAGCCTGAGGGCCCAAAAGGGTGAGAAGGGGACAGCATGGTGGGGCACCAACCACGACAATAAACAGATTAAGAATAATAGGAATAGGAACCAGGTTTCACACTGCTGTAAAGGGAGTTACAAAAACAGAGAGAGAAAGTGAGGATGACCCCTGCGGTGCTGCAGTATGGGACTGGAACCGCAAGTGTTAGGTGAACGGGTGGTTTCTGATATGTGTTACGCAATGAAGATACAGGCACAGACACAGAGACACAGGGGAGGGAGAGAGACGTAAGTATAGAGGTGTAAGAGTGGGGACCAAGGCGTGTGCTGATGTACCTACTCTGTCCGCCGAGAGGGCCTGGGAGCAGGGACACCACGATAGCTATGAGCACACCCAGCATTCAGATCTTCTGCTAAATACCGTTCTCCACTAAAAGGGGTGAGGACTCTTCGGAGAAATGGCTGATTTTCCAGGACAAGGGCAGGGAAGTTATAAAATGAGCTTGGAGCATCTCGTGCCATAGGGCAAGGAAACACTCAGAATGAGGAGAGTGCAAGGAAACGGAGAAGCAACTGTGATGGGGCTCCTGCCGGCCACGTGGTCTGCAGCCCACTGAAAAAAACAGTAAACCATGAGTAAATAGGTAGGTAGGTAGGTAGGTAAACAAAAGGAAAACCAGTAACTTTACAGTTGAGAAGCCTGGAGACACCACCTGAGTCAAGTGATCAAAGTGAACTTCATCAGTGACAGACCCTCTAAGGCCAAGCCCCAATCACCAGGACGCAAAGAGAAGAAGGCAGCGTCACTTCCTAAGGTGCACAAAGGCTGCCTGGGTGAGGCTCACCCAGATCCAGGTGGAGGGACAGCCTACAAAACACCTGGCCTGTAATCTTCCAAAGCATCAAAGTCATGCAGGTCAAAGTCAGAGGAACTGATCCAGAGGTAAAAAGACCTAAGAGATGTGACAAGTGAATACAAATGCTTTATTCTCAACAGGATCATTTTCCTACTAAAGACACTATTGAGACAACTAGCAAAACACGAAGGGGTCTGATGACTTGATAGTAGTTTGTACGTGAACTTCCCGACGATGCTTACATTGCTGTTACAGAGGACATCCTGGTTTGTAAGAAGTCTGCGTTAGTATGTTCAGGGGCAATAGGGCATCAGGCTGGCAACTTACTCTTGAATGATAAGGGGGGGATTTCTCTGCACTGTACTTAACTCTTCTGTAACTTGGTTCATAGTTTCACAATGCTTTAACTCAGGGAACCATAAATGATTCTAATGGGGAAGGGGCTCTCTGCCTAATCAGACCCATGCTGCAGAGCTTGGAGAACGCTCTGCCTCTTCCTGGGATTGCCTGCCAACCCCACACACCCAGCCATTTGTGGACACAGAGCACGCCATCAGCCCTGCCATATCCCTGGGCGGCCCGGGCGGTTCCAAGAGGAGGAGGGGCCAACATCACTCACAGCAAGCCAGGGTTCTGAGTGGCCTGCTCCTCAGGCCTTTGTCAGTGTGCAACAAGAGCTGAGCAAAGCAAAGCAACTAACTTGTAATGCAGAGAGGAGCAAGAGCACCAGGCCACCCTCCCACCTAAAACAACGATGNCAGAGAGGAGCAAGAGCACCAGGCCACCCTCCCACCCAAAACAACGATAGTAACTGCTTCATCTCATGTCTACACAGGGCTTTAAAATTTCCAAGCTCTCTCTATCTGCAATCTCATGTGATCCATACAAAGGAAAGAAGCTACAAACGCCCAGACCCCCAAGTCCTGGAGTAAGTCTAGTTCCTGGTACACACTGCACAGCACCTCTTCCTTGCAACATTCATAATGATACACAGATACGTGAGATTATTTGATTAACATTTGTCTCCCTCATGGGACTGCAGGGTCCAAGAGCACAGGGGCTGAGTGTCTGCTCACATATATCCATCCCAGTGACTCACATGAGGCAGACGCTCCAGAAATACTTGCTA